CAGTTTCCCGAACTCTCGTCCATGTTTAAAACTTTTGATACTCGTCTGTATCTTCCTTTAATACTTGTCTGTATTGATTCAAACACTCGTTCGTGTTTAACCTTTTGATACTCATTTGTATCTTCCTTTAATACTCGTCTATATTGATTCAAACACTCATCTGTTTTTAACCTTTCTTGATACTTGTCCATATCTTCTTTCGATACTCGTCTGTATCGATTCAGACACTCGTCCGTGTTTAACCTTTCCTTGATACCCGTCCGTATCTTATTTTGATACTCGTCTGTATCAATTCAGACACTCGTATGTGTTATACCTTCCTTGTATTAGCATCATGCTACGTTACAAGTTCAATCTCTTCCTTGTATTGGCATTGTGCTACATTATAAGTTTGATCTCTTCCTTGTATTGGCATCACGCTATGTTACAAGTATGATCTCTCCCTTGTATTGGCATCACGTTGTGTTACAAGTGCAATCTCTTCCTTGTATTAGCATCGCGCTATGTTAAAAGTCTGATCTCTCCCTTGTATTGGCATGACTATGTTACAAGTGAAATCTCTTCCTTGTATTGGCATCGTGCTACGTTACAAGTTTGATCTCTTCCTTGTATTGGCATCATGCTACATTACAAGTCTGATCTCTCCCTTGTATTGGCATCACACTACGTTACAAGTGCAATCTCTTCCTTGTATTGGCATCGTGCTACATTACAAGTTCGATCTCTTCCTTGTATTGGCATCACGCTACGTTACAAGTATGATCTCTCCCTTGTATTGGCATCACGCTATGTTACAAGTGAAATCTCTTCCTTGTATTCGCATCGTGCTACATTATAAGTCAAATCTCTCCCTTGTATTGGCATCACGCTACATTACAAGTGCAATCTATTCCTTGTATTGGCATCGTACTACGTTACAAGTTCGATCTCTTCCTTGTATTGGCATCATGCTACGTTATAAGTGCAATATCTTTCTTGTATTGGCATCGTGCTACGTTACAAGTTTGATCTCTTCCTTGTATTGGCATCACGCTATGTTACAAGTACGATCTCTTCCTTGTATTGGCATCACACTACGTTACAAGTCAGATCTCTTCCTTGTATTGGCATCACGCCACGTTACAAGTCTTTTATGCCTTTGTGTTTACATCATGCTACCTTCCAACACTCATCGTGTCAGCTCCTAAACACTCATCGTGTCAGCTTTTAAGCACTAGTCGTGTCAATTTCTAAACATTCATTATGTCCTGATCGATGTCTTCGTTTTGTTTATCGTGTCCTGATCGATGCCACCCTGCGAATCTTCGTGTCCTGATCGATACCTCCCCTGCGAATCATCATATCCTGGTCCATGTTTTCCTCTTATTCATTGTGTCCTGATCGATTTACTCTGATATCGTCGTGTCCTGATCGACATATACCTACGGTTTAGTCCCACCTCTTTTAATTCCCCAGTGGATGTTGCAAAAATAAATAAACACTCACACTTTCTCCCAGAACAAATTTTTGGCATTGGTATTTAACCATCTTCAACCTTGAACTTCTGAAAGGTATGCGCCAATCGCACTTTCAGGTTTAAGACAATTAAATAGGGGCAGCTGTAATACCCCAAATCTGTCCTACCCCTTTTACTTTTATCGGGCTTATGCATTTCGCACTTTTCTCATGTGCATAATTCCCATCAGGTCATCTAACACGTCATTTATTCATTAATCAATAAAACGTGGCATATGATCAAGGATGTTGAAGAATTAGGGTTTTTGTATGGCTTTAAGGTTCTCGTCTTCATTCAAACTTGAATCAACTTGTTTTATCTTCAATTAGGATTTGTGGAGCTAGGGTTAGTGTTCATAATCATTGAGAGGTTTTTTACCCTAAAGCAACAAAGTTCATGAAGCGTCTTCGTCCAGATTTCTCAAGTGCATCAAGTGTTTGGGTTTTCATCAAGGCTTCATCGAAGGTTGTTTTAAAAGAATATTTTTTTCTCATCAGCATATTAAATCGCTTCCTCATTAGTGTGCATTCATGGAAAGGGGATTAGGGTTTCAGTTTGTTGCTCAAGTTTGTTGGTTCATCAATTGGAGAACTGGACTTAAGGGCTTCGTTTCTTATACTTCAAGACGTATTTGTATTCAAGGCAGTGTGTTGAGGCAACCATTTGAAAAGACTTTGTCAAGTCAATATATTTTGTGGATTGAATTGCAAGAATGAAACATAACATAGGAGGTGAAGTTATGGATTGATTTTGATCAAGACAATTTTGTTCTCTTTGTTATTATATGTTGCTTGGAAATACATGTTAAATGGGATTAGTAAAGGAAAATTGACTTGTCCGTTAAGAAATGAAAGGGAATTCATTCATTCGAGTGATTCCATGAACTCAATCTGTGCAAGGGGATAAGTTTGGATCTGATTCATGATTAAATTTGGAAATGATATCGATGTTAATTTCGTAGGATTCAAGTAACAAAGGCAATGGCCATCATTTCTCTCAAGGAAAAGTTCATCATCAAGAATTCGTGCCCATTATATATTTCATTCAAAAGAAAGACTAAATATTCAAGAGGTTTCTATTACAAGTTACCATTTCCAAAGTCTATTACAAGATGTATCCAAAATACATTCTAAAGGATATTACAAATAGTTATGTGATGTTTAAAGAACATGTGGAAGTTGTCTTCGTGCTTGCAATTATCTTTGCTTCAAGCTACCACGTTTCCAAGAGGCGTTGCTATTGTCGTTGGAACCAAGCTGCATCGTATTTTCAAGCCCTGCATATTGATCACAGTAAAACCAGAAATCCAGTCAGCATTCACGCAACCCTGCAATTTATAATTGAAGCTTACAATGAGATAACCAAAACCTGCATAAACATGTTCGGTTAAAATCCAGTGCACCAAATGAAAACCTATCCCTAACTGCCTTTTTCTAACCCCGACCAATTTCTAAACTGAAATTACAAACACAACCTACATTTAAAAGGAAAAAACTAGTTAGAAATCCAACACAGTCTGCAGCATTTCAAAGTCAGAATCAAATCCATAGTAGAGAAATAGTTAAGTCAAGAGATCAGGAAAATTGTAATCCAAACAAAATCAATTATCCAAACCTGAACCAGTTCAGGCACCAATTTAAAGCTCAGAAAAGCAGAAAGTTCCAACAGAATCTCAACAAACTTATGAGATATTTATGCAAAAAGCTATAACAGAAAGCAGGGGAGAAAAGAATGGAGGTTCACAACAGAAAAGGAAAAGGGGAGAATTCGGTTACAAAAGACCAATAGCAGAAAACCGGTGAAAAATAACTGAACAACAATTTAACTACCCTGCTAACAGAAAACAAATTCAACGAAATTTTTATAGCTAGTTGTCTTATAATCTCTCACATTCACCATTTTTCTCCTTCTAATAGAATTTCAGTTTTACAACTTTCCAATTTCCAGTCCCTAACAAAAATTCACAACAAACCTTAACTGACTGTTTCTGAAACAGAACTATAACATCCCTAACAGCAATTACTAACCAAAAAATTTCCAGCTTAGTAACAAATATAATTCCCCAACTGTTTCTAACTGACTATTGACACCAACTAACCTTTGACAGTTTTTCTAACTAACTGTAACCAATGCTAACAGTTTAGAACTACCCTTAACCCCTCTCTTAACTGACTTCCCAATTTTCCAACAGAATTAACAAGAAAACCAGAAACAGACCCTTCACAAAACAAATTCATATCCTTTTAACTATTTCAAAAATAAACTAACAGCTTTTCATGACTTCCTAACATCTCTAAACAGTAGTCTAACTAACTCCTAACAGCCTAACTAATTCCTAATTGTTTCTAACTATAACCGTAACAAACTTCCATTACAAGATGAGAAGAAAAGAAAAAACAACAAAAAAAAGGCTTCCAGAAGAGAGCATAACAGAACAGAAGAAAGGGAGATTCACGGGATATTTTCTACAACAAAACAGAAATTTACAAAAATAATAGGGACTCACCTTTTCATTATCTCTTCAATTCTATCTTCATGCTTGAATCTCCATCTTCCTCAATCTCTCAACTCTCTGCATCTTCAATCATTACCATCAACTCAAAAATCTCCATCTTTAATGCTCCCTATGCTTTCTCTCTACAACCGCATCAATACACTTTTTCCATAACCACACTTCAAGCTCCATCAACCGCTTCATTCTGCACTTTCATCATCAATTTGAATCTGCAATTCTAATCTTCAATCTTCATATCACACTCTCTTTAATCACCACCTTCATAAGACCTCATACATCATCAATATCATCTTCAATCCTCTACAAGCCTCATCATCTTCTGAATCAACATCGCAATCGCATTTTAACAACACTGAGTCAGAATCGCGCCCAACATCATCATCTCTCTGCAACACGGTCAACAACACAGCCACGAAGTGAAAATTGGTGAGAAGAAGAACAAGAAGAGCCAACTGTAGCGGTGAAAATCGGAGATCAAGTTATTAATTAACTTGACTTACAAAATCAAGAGTCGCCAGCGCGCTTTATTATTTCCAACGGAAAAGGGAAAACAGCGAAATAAAACCCTAAAATATACAATGTAAAATAATAATTAAAAGTAATGAAAATACAATGCATTTTCGAAAAGAGATCTAGAGTTCGGGGGTTGGTTATACAAAGGGAAGGTACTAGCATCCAATACATATGCGGTATTCCGTAGGAACCTTTTGAAATATCTGTTTTTAATTAAAATTGTTTGTTTGGTTAAAAATGGGCGTGGATAAGGTTTTGAAGATACGACGACCTAGTGTCAAAGTTTTGACTTAAAAGGGATGTGAGTTTTAAAATTGAGTCTTTTTGTGTTTTTGTATCCGATTTCGTTGCTGATATTATCCTTGAGGATGCACACGATAGGACGTAGTTGCAGAAATAGAAAAGCTTATGGATATTGTAGTGGCATGGTGTTATGGTGGCTGGGTGATTAAAGTCAGCAACTGGACAGTAGTGTGAATGTCAAAGATGAATTCGAAAGGAGTAAAGGCAGAGTTTTGCTATGCTGAGAGGGAGTAAGTTGATGGGAGTAAGTTAATGGTAGTATTGGTTTGAAAGGGAGATAGGCGATGGAGTATGAGGGGAGTAGTTCGGACGAATAGATGAAGGTGACAGAAGGTTGACAAGCGGTTGTGAAAGGTAGTTGGACAGGGGAGGGAGTTCGGAGGTAAATGGCCAATACTACCCTGCGTTCTGCTCCCAGATTTCCACTCGGTTCTCTCAACAAAAATCACGTTCAAGGTTTGAATCTTTCTTTTGTGATTTTTACCGATCCTAACTCTTTTTTTTTTACTTATGATTTAAGCATTAAGATAACAGACACTTTCATTTTTTTATTTTTTATAGAATACTCGTGTTTTTTTCAAATATGGCAGTAGCGACAATGTTGGAACAATAATAGTAGAGATTCAACATGTAATGAGCAAAACAGAGATATCGATTCAAAGAAAGTGTGAAATTTATGATACAAGTAGTTCAGTTTGGATAGAAACAACAACAACTACAACTACAGTAAGGCCAAAACGAAGGAAGAAAAGAATTACCAAGTCGGAGTTCCTCCAAAGGGTCTTCGTACTTCTCAGGTAGATTTGTTCAAATCCTTTCTTCTGGTCAAATTCCTCTAGAAATTGCTTGTAAGTTTGAAATTTGTTGTTGGTATTCTCTTGTAGGAAGCTTGATAAAAAATGTCCTCTTCCTATGTTCCTCTTGCTTCTGGTTTTTATAGTGAATGTATGATAGAATCTGAGGGAAAATTGGATAGGTTTCAAGATATGGCTAACTGTTCTATGCCTTTCTAGTACAGGTTTTGTAAATGACCTTTTGTGAGCAATTTTGATGTGTTTTTGGACTGTTTATGCAGTTGTAGACAACAAGGTGCAACAGGTTGGTGGAGCAGAATTGTAGCAGTTTTTGGACTGAATTGTTTGGACTATTTGTGACAGCAAATATGCAGTCTTTTGGCAGCATTGCAACAGGGGCAGCAACATGACCATTGCAGCAGGGGCAGCAGCATGACCATTGTGCAGCAAAACTTGGATAAGGACATAAGGGTTTTGGTGCAAGTTTGTGCAAGGATTTGGATCAAGGCAAATTTGGACATAAAGTTTGAGGCATGAAGTTTATAGGGCATTAGAAGTAGCTCAAGTCTTGATTTGCTTGTAACTTTCTTTGTAATTTTTCCTGTAATAAATGATGTTTGAATTTTTGGTGTAAATCTTTGATGAATCTAAAAATTTCTCTTGAAAATAACCTTGGATGGAATTTGAAATGTCACTTAAAATTATGTCTTGTGTGAAGAATGAACCAAATGGGATTTAATAGGTCATGAATGATGATGGTTGAATCTTTGAATGAATTTAAAGTCTTAAGAATGATTCTTGAATAATACTTACTTTTGATCAAAAATGTTGTTAACTTTGAATCATGAGTGAACATATTTATCTTTTGTGGGCTTGTATGAATCTTTAATGATATTGAAATGGAGTCTTGATTCATTCTTGAATAATCTTCAAACTACGCACCAAATTGAACCTTGCATTTAGATGAATGGGTTATGGCACATGCCTTGCAATCTCAAATCAATTATGATACATGCCTCAATTTTATCCCCATGAATAAAGTTTCAAATTTAATATTTAAAGTGAACAATTGAATCATGGATAAAATGATGAGTGTCTTTGAAACTTTGAATTAAATTGAATTTAATGGCATCTCACGAGTGAATATCCAAATCATTTCTAGTGAGACTCTAATTCAAATCTTCGATTCTTGGTAATTTGCAATACATGCCAATAGGATAAATCATGCCTTTAAGAAATTTAATCAACAATCCACCCTAATCCAACGATCTCTAATGTTAAATTTCAAATGACTTGAAGTAGGCAACAAGCAATCAAAGAATCATTAAACTAAAACTCTAGTTTCACGAATTATCCCAACATAAGAATCAAACGTCCCTTGAGAAAATTTTTGTGGCATGAATTGAACCTCGATCTTTAAAGTAATCTCATAGACAATGCTATTTGTGATACTTCGTAAAAGAATCGCCTCAGGACGTTGAAAAATGAAGAAGTTATGACCGTTTGAACTTGAACTTGCAAGAGTTGACTTTTGATCGAAATGATTTGAATCGACTTGCAAACTTGATCTTTCTTCTTATTCCAAAGCATCTTGATGCACATGTAAACCAGTGATGATGAAATCTTGGCTGTGCTTTGGGGAATTTTTGGAGAAGCTTGAGACCATTTGTCAAACAAGGCGTGGAAATAAACACACAATCCTCTGAAGTTCCTTGAGACATAAGCTATCACACTTGAGACAATTGTGATCAAAATGATCCTAAACAAAGCTTTAGAAGTCGTATATTGATGAATCAGTCTTCGAGAATCAATAATCAATTGTACTTCTGGCTTGAGGGACTCAAAACCCTAATTGAGGCGCAACGCCTGATGTCCTTGATTTAGACCTGTCTCTGCACATGAAATCAGAGAAATAAAAAACATACACTTCGTGCTTGATTAGAAGTTAGTCCTGCATAAAAAGTTTACCACACTCGATAATCTCTGCACCGACAATGCTCGAAGGTGAAAAGTTCGAAACCGACCATATTTCGTGACCTTGATTTCTACATAAAAATGCAAAAATAAAAATGGGATCTTAGGTCAAAAATTGGGGTATGACAGCTGCCCATATTTAAGATTCTTCTATCCGGAGATATGAAGATTGGAATCTTCATTTCGACGATATTGAAGGGACTTAAATATAGAATACACAAATTTTGGCCTTAAGATACCGCAATTATGTTTATGATATGATATGAATGTAATATTTTGAATTTAATGAGGAATGATTCCGCATGAGACAAACTACTACTGGAGAAACCAAGCACGTTATACAGTAATCCCACTGGGGAAGAGATATAACTCCACTGGGGAACAGAGCCACGGACTTCGATTGAGGCTCTTATTGGGGTACAACTTCGAGAGAAGAAAAAATTACTGACTCTATCAGAGAAGACGCCTTGCATAGGCTGCGAAAAGATAGATGGTGATTGACCCAGGATGATGGTGAGTTTACAAATCAGGGTCAAAGGTAGATAAAAATATACACTAACTTTTTCTGATAGTGAACTACCGATTTTTACTGAAGATAGGGTTTTTATAACAAACTTCTCTGTGGGTCTTTTTCGGAGTGATACCATTTGTTGTTGAGATAACATATTATTGGGGATACACAAGTTGCTCAAATAAAGAGGCCACCACTTACTGTCATCAAATGATATCAATAATACACAAGTTGCTCATGAAGAGCCGGCACTTGCCATCTTCAAAAAATAATACACAAGTGGCTCATGAAGAGACCGTCGCTTGCTATTTTTTCATGGTATCAATAACATACAAGTTGCTCATGAAGAGACCGCTGCTTGCTGTTTTTTCAAAGATATCAATAACACACAAGTTGCTCATGAAGAGACTGCCGCTTGCTGTTTTTTCAAAGGTGTCAATAACACACAAGTTGCTCATGAAGAGATCACCGCTTGCTTTTTTTTCAAAGATAACAATAACACATAAGTTGCTCATGAAGAGACCGTTGCTTGCTATTTTTTCAAAGGTGTCAATAACATACAAGTTACTAATGAAGAGACCGCCACTTGCTATTTTTCAAAGATAACAATAACACACAAGTTGCTCATCAAGAGACCGCCGCTTTCTGTTTTTTCAAAGGTGTCAATAACACACAAGTTACTCATGAAGAGACTGTCGCTTGCTATTTTTCAAAGATAACAATAACACACAAGTTGCTCATGAAGAGACTGCCGCTTGCTGTTTTTTCAAAGGTGTCAATAACACACAAGTTGCTCATGAAGAGACCGCCGCTTGCTATTTTTTCAAAGATAACAATAACACACAACTTGCTCATGAAGAGACTTTCGTTTGCTGTTTTTTCAAAGATAACAATAACATACAAGTTGCTCATGAAGAGACCGTCGCTTGCTGTTTTTTCAAAGATAACAATAACACACAAGTTGCTCATGAAGAGACCGTCGCTTGTTGTTTTTTCAAAGGTAACAATAACACACAAGTTTCTCATGAAGAGACCGTCGCTTGCTATTTTTTAAAAGATAACAATAACACACAAGTTGCTCATGAAGAGACCGTCGCTTGCTGTTTTTTCAAAGGTATTAATAACATATCGTGAAGATATTGCTGGAGGTGAGAATCAATAATTTCATCGGGGGTAGACAATCTGCTTATGAAGAGACCACCATTTGTCCTAACATAAATAAATTCAGAAATAATCAAATTTCTCAAATAAAGAGGTAGTCACTTGTTGTCACGTCGATATTCTAGAAGAAAGTTATGATAACACTACTAGGGAATAAAGTTCACCTTCAATGGGGAACCATGAATAAATCCTTCCTAAGGAGACGAAGTATTTACATACACAAGATCAATGCACTTTTCATCTAGGTTTCACAGCTTAGAGAGATCCACAAAGCAACATTTGTAATAAACAAAACTCAATCCAAGAACAAACTGGAGAGAAACAGTCAAACAAGACCCTACCAGATGAGGAATAAACTCAACCGGGACTTATCCTATCCTGAGATAGAAAGGAAGGCTAAAGCAACAACTCTTCCATGAGGAATAAACTCCATGGGGAATTAGAAAGGAGACACTTTCTGCTTAAGTTGGCACTCTATTTGAGAAGAGGAAATATGATAACCAAAGTATATGGATCAAGAACATCAACAAATATCAATCTGTGTGCATGATGCAAGTGTGAATGAATAAATGAATGTCATGTATATGCTGACAAAACAGATAGAGGAGATAGACTGAAGATGATAAGACATCACAGCATAACCCGACACTCGGCTAATATTGATAAGATGAGAACATTACTTGAGATAGAACAAACTCAATCAATGGAGCAAAGTCCTTTTACAAGGCTTAAATCTCTCTGGAGAGAAAGATATTTTTCGGAAGAAAACCCAAAGTCCAATCTTTTAACATCAATAATCTATTGAAATTATAATAGTACGAACCACGCTTCAGCTGGAGAGAGAATCTTGTTTAGCTGGAGATACTGGGGAACTCCACCATCTGATAATATATGCAAAGCATATCACATATCTTGACAAATATGGATTGCCCCTAGGACTAATTTTGGATGCCCCAAGTTTACTGCTGATAAGCTGCATGATGCACGACAATTCTTGTGAATAACTTCACTTCTAAAATGCCTCAAGCTATATGGTTGATGAGAAGAAATCGTCTCAAGAGGATTTTATAAAAGACTTGGCATCCACCATGCTCTAGTGTCTTCAAACTCTTATAGAGATTCGTCGAATCTCGACGTGATTGCCCCGGATTGACTGTACTTGGCACAACAAAGTTTTCAAATTTTGCCCCAAAAGGGTAAACAAGTTGGGAAAGCATTAACTGGGAGAAGCAACATGTCCGTGCTTAAGGTCTTCATGTGACATGCCCCTGGATATGATTTTTCATGAAATGATTCGCCAATTACTCAATAGAGTTTCAGGCCTTAAAAGAATAAACTCATTGCTAGTGCTTATATGTGAGCTTCCTTGATATCAAACAAATGTTTTTCTATTAGAAAAAGTTTATTATGAGAATGAAAATTCTAATGCAACAGTTATGTAAGTATTGAAGATTTTGAAAAGATATCGCACAAATTTCCCGAGTTAGAGCACCATTTATTTTTGTATAGCAAAAGCATATGATACCAACATAACTATTTAGCAAACATTCATGGGAGTCAGGAACACTATCTCATTGAAGTATTCTTTCAAAATAACCTTGCTTCAATTAGGACTTTTCAAGGTTGTAACATGGCCTGGTTCATGGTTTTTAGAAAAAATATTTTTAAGGCTCAAAATTTATAGGTGTCCACCCATTCTTCGTGATGTTCTCCAACCATATGTTCAGTTAATTCAACATGAGTGTTCATCTCTCAAAAGGATTTTGTGACGGTTAAGGAAATGACGAGGCTTTCGAAGTAGCAACCACCCTTATGTCTTCGTGTTTGTAGCCACGTGAATTCGTTCTTGGCTGTGGACTTTTCTTGGTAGTCCTTTCTTTGCAATTTTATT